ACACATTTTTTGGTTCTCAAATTTTCAAAAAGAATGGGTTCGGCTTTTATGGGATGCGATTTCTAATAAAGATTTCACGGTAAAGATTTTTACGCATAAAACACCCTTTTTTATTGTGTTTAGACAACATAATATACGAATTAATTATAAGACCTACTTCAAATACTACCTTAAAGTATTGCATAAAATAATATCAATAAAGTTATTGATAATTTGAATTGTAACATTTTATGGTAGTTTAGAGATAAAGTCAATAAATCCTTATAAATTTACAAGCTTTGCGTAGAATTCAATAACACTTTATCCTTTGGGACGATTAATATTCACATTCAGTCAATCGAAAACATTTTATTGTTATGATGTTTTCATCAATTGCCCCAATTTGACAAGATGAGGTAATATCAGCGACAATAAACACAATTTTCACTTTATTTTGTAATTATGGGAAATGAAAAAATTTATATTACCACTCTTTCCTTCAACATGAAAGAATAAATTAATATTTTATAGGTTGAATAGTTTTTATTCTATTTTTCAAATTCAGGTGTGAATATGTGACTATTTAATTATTTTACATTCGGAATTATTGGTAGTTGTCTCCCATGTTAAAAGCACATTACTTACATAAATTGTGTTGCAGTTGACATTTCATAAATTAACTTAAATATGGCAATAGGGATGACCATTTCCTAATATGTAATGGATCTTATTTTCTACAGTTTATACACATTCTTCAGCCACGGATGAAAACCTACAAAAGGTGGTGCTTGTTTTAATACATTTAACTACATATAATAAATGTAACCGCAGACTTAGCAGAATTCACAATAATAGTTTTTTCTGGATCTTCTAAAATTAATAAAACTTGGTACATAGATGATCTAGGATAATGTTGTCAGACAAGATATATGACCGAAATATCAAGCCATCATATATGGTCATGATTTCATTAAATATTTATAATTGTTATACCTTAATGTCAGATGAATATACAAACATAAGTCGCCTGTCTTAATTTTTCACCCCAAATTGGACTTGTTGTATACTGAATCATTGAAGTATTATTAATTTCGACCCCAGAATCACTTCTGTAATTTTATGTAAGCGCATGCACTATTTATTAATAATGCAAATATGGTAATTTTAAAGCGTGAGGGTTGTCACCTGCGTACGTGCGGGAATTGAGTCCCAAGCAACGATAACAACACACGCTAAAAATGCAAAGGCTCATGGGTAGATGCATGTTTGTAAAAAATGACATGCTATGGCCATCTGACGCATGCGCAGGTGACGACTCTCCCCACTTTAAATGATGCCTGAAGGCATAACTGCTATAGGAAATTAAAATAAATGTTAAACATTTAATAGTCAATGCTTTAGCTTTACACATTCACCCCAGGAGTCATTCCAATATTTAAATGATTCCAATATTCAAGCCAAATCCTATAATTAAATTGGTATAATTTCTTAAATGATGAATTCACAGGTTTGAGTCAATCTAATTCAAGTGTATAGATTTAATTATTCCTCTACAAATAAACTTAGCATGTTTCTTATTAAGAAATTTGTATGACTAAAAATTAATTAAAATTTAATTAATTAAAATACTTACATTACATTTAGTTGGCAGCACTGGATTAGTGTTAAATGCGCAGTAACTACAGCTGCGAAACTAATTTGCATACTATTGCCACTGTATGGGTTGTATAAACCTGACACATCACCTTTCGTTTTTTTCAATTGGTTTTAAAAAGGTTATTTTATCTCAGTATTACGTGTATATATGGTAGAATACAATTATTAAGAAACGAGGGTCATGGTGCCAATCTTGTGTTAGAATTGTGTTGATAAGCAGTGATTTTCCCGCTACCCAGTGTGCTCCTAGTTGCTGTAAATTCTCTTCATTTCTCATCAACGTTATATTATTTCAATTATTTGTAAAATTACTATACAATAAAATACATACATAATACATTTTTTACTCCTATACAATCTTTTTTCAAAATTAATTTCATTGAATTAGTAGAGCACGGAGGAGAGTTCAGAAAATATATAAAATGCAAACAAAATTATGCTGAAGAATACGAGACAATTTGCTAAGAGGCATTTCTTGCTTGCAACCTATATATGTATGTTTTATAGGTCATCAAACTCTGTGAAAAAAAACATCACTTAGACAGAAAATTGACCACTTTTTTTTTTGAAACCCTACAATTCAAGAGCTATATATAAAACTATATGTAACAAGTCAGCGCAATTTAAAAAAAACGCATGTCTGCAAAATCTGGAGTGACTGAGTCGGGGAGAATACATGTTGATGATACTATGTAGGAAAGGATATGCAGGCTGTCCTGAGGTGTCTGTCTATGATTTATGAATGATCTTTTGACCTATAATGAAAATCCTAATATTACTCAGATGGATTTTTGATTTTTTTTTTTTAAATCTTCATTCATCCATCCCTCAATCAGATTTGCGAGATATTAGTGACCAAAATACAGACTACATTTCGTTTTATATTAGTAGATCGATAATCGTCCATTCATCAATTTTTTAAAACAAATTTACATTTATTATTCTATAATAATTAATGTGTATTTCTTACATATGTTAAACCTTGAACTTGACTCATCCTTGATATTTTTATGTGTTAATAATTAATTGTAAGGACAGGCTAGGTTGTGTGTATTACTATCAAGTGTACCATGGGTCAAATTACATGTCTGCTTAAATTATCATGGCAATACATCTGCTATTATGTACAAAACACCAGATGGGAGGGGGGGTCATTGGAAATACAATGACATGTGTAGTAACTAATATTTATTAAATCTGTATTTCCACCAACAATGATAGTTTTTTTTAAATAAATTGGTACAATACTGCACTTGTTTTTGTTCATCAAAATTATTGATTTAGCTCTTCATTTTAAGGTATCAGATAGGATGAATTGAATTGAAATGAAATTAATATGTTTTAATTAAATATGTAATTTCATATCATGACCTATTTTATCCTTGGCATTATTTTTTTTGTAATTTTTCATCCAATTTGTTATAATAGTCAAGAGTTTTTAATAGATAATTGGTATAAAGATATATCTGCCAAATTTCCTGATAACATTTCTCATATATAACAAATTAATAGATTTGGGGGGTTACCATTAAAAAGATTGGAGGGAGGGGTTATGGTTCATAAATTCAACTATATTATAACACTTCATGCACCTATTTAATGAAAAATAAAAATATAGTCTAAATGAAAAGAAAAGTTTGAGAAATTGTAATGTTCAACCCCTTATGCAAGTGTTTGTTTTTGATGTCTATTTTTGCTGTTTAAATTTGTTGACTAAATCTTTTTAATGTAATTTCATGGAACTTGTTTCTGAATCATTTTTTTTTGGTTTTCAAGACAGAACTCTTGGAAAAATGTTGTTATTGTTCTGTTTTTTATTTAATATTATTATTATTCTACCTGATTTTTTTTAAAATTGTCTTTGTGATTTTTTTTCAACTTGTGCTTGGACAGACTGTATGTAAAGTGGACGGACATAGTAAAGATGAATTTATGGTGAATTGACAATGAAATGAACTCAATGCATAAATCATGGTCTGACTTGTAACACAATACTTGTTAACAAATCATCGTGAAAATAAATTTGCCATCTCAATGAACCATGTATTGTCGCTGAAACCTGAAGTTTGAGCGGTTCGGACAATTGTGCATTACCTTCTGCTTCTACGGTTAATCAATTCAAAAAACGACCATCTGTGAATTGATTGCTGTCATGCTCTGTGAGCTTGGAAGCTATGTTAGGTAAAACCGGAAGCTGGCAGTTCACCTTCCAAGAAAAGAGTCTGATCATGGAGCTAAATGGCCTGATATACAAAGCGATTTCCAGCAAGACTGTAATTTTGGATGTACCCTCCTCCAAAACCCTCCCCTAAGGATAATCGGACTCCCTGTAAGTTGAATTTCTAATGTGTATCTTATAAGAGCTTTGTAAAAAAAAAAAAAAAAAAAAAACCTCGTTCGTGGGGAATAGGTACTGACAATCAGAACAAATTGCCTTTTATGTCAATTCAGACTTTGTGTTTAAATGTCAACGCAAATCACGGAATGGCCAATATCTGAACAGGCTTTCAAGTTCGTTTGTTGCATTATAGCGTTGATTTCATTTTCATTCCTAACCTATACGAGGAGATGCTGGCGAGTAGACGACGCATACATCATAAAGTTCGAGTCTGTCACTCTCAATATGTTGCAACTATCGATGCTGTTTACATTTCGCGTTCGTGTTTCCGGGTACCTCGTACGTTCTCGGGAATGTCACCATGACAATGGCATTTAACGATCGACCTGATGTAATTAATGTAATTGTTTGTTGGCCGCCGCGGATGCCCGTCTTGTTTGCATAATACACACCGGCGACTAAATGATTGAATGATTGTACACAATGCAATATTCGCAATGTCGTCATTGTAGTACTCGCTAGTACCAAACACTGACTAAATGGGAGTGTTTTGTCAGTGGGGGATTACATTCGATGATACCAAGTTAGTGCAGATAGTACTAAAAAACTGGTTACAACGAAAGCAATGCATTACGCCTGTAGACTATGTTTTCTCTCTCTTTCAATCCACGTCATTCATAAACAGCCCACACTCGCCATGTGTGCGTGTGGCTGAGCGGTATAAACAATTAATGGCGACGGTGGTGTCCAAACTCACTCATGATTATAACAAATACTATACCTTGCGATAACTTCATTGTCTATTTTCACCAAGCAATACGGATCGCTTGTACCACTCCTGCGTGATTCCAAATATAGAAAAATAAGTAAGATCAAAGTTTGTAATATCCACAAACATGTGGTTAACTGGGCCGATCCACAGGTGTTTATGTATGTGTATATATATATATATACATATACACGATCGCCATGAGTGTTAACACTGAAATTTCCATCAACTGTTAATAGTAATGATATTTCAACTTACAGATCTTTTGCAGGTAAGTTTTTTCCCTCGCCAATCCGCAGATATATCGAAGTGTTCTTCGCCATCCCGTGTGCACCAAAACAACGAAATCCGTATAGATCGGTGATTTATCGCCGTCTTGTCACAAAAACAAAATAAATAAATGACCGCACCTTTCTGTGGGTGGCAGCAGGGCGCTTAATGACTGGATTACTTTACCCGGTGAAGTTAACCTTTGGTTTGGTGCAAACTATCCATTACAAACGTCGTTAGATTAAGTTGACAACAGAATGAGCTGAATAAGTCGGTCGTTCTAGATAGCAAAGTGTGCTGCTACTGAGCGTGCATGGCTGTGTAATATATATACGGAAAGCGGTTTAAATGCGTGGCGTTGTATCTACTATATAGCTCGGAATCCCAACATCAGGATTCTACCATTTATAGTAGGGGAGTCTGGCCTTATACGCCAAACACGGGAAGGGGCTACTAATACTTGCATTGTCCGCTATTATATTATATTTTCTTTTTTTTTTTTGAACACGTATAGTTTTGTTTGTTTGTTTGTTTTAACTATTAAAAATGCATATAGCCTCGTTGAGGGTGTTGAAACTACTTTCTCCGTATTAACGATTAATGGAAGTTTCACAAAGTGTTCTTATTTTAATAATTTTCAATCAGATTAACATCTATGTACTAATAGTTTGATGGTTTATCCCGATCGTGGTGTTCATCCTGCGCTAGTTGGTGTCATGCGGGCTAGCGACTGTACTGTGATATTAAAAAAAAATCAAATCAACTACCAATATCAATGATATCAGTTGAACACATTTATTACCAGAATGAAGTAAAAGGTATTCACTTTAATTTAATTCTGTGCTTCTCGTCTCGTAAATTGTACCCAGAATTAAGGATCTAGTATTAATACTTTATTTTACTGTAAAACACGTCTTTTTAGCTAGAATGTCATTTTAGCTAATTTGGCTAACATGTAATTTTGCCAATTCAAAATGTCGCTAATTTAGAATAAAGTATATTCTCACAATGAGATTGTTGGCATTTTAGATAAATTAAGATTTTGTTAATTCATGTATTGAGTCAAATTCGCTAAAATGGCATGCAACAATGTGTTTTACAGTAATTCTTTTGAACGAGTTTCATATGTATACATGTAGCTCTACTAGTATGTGTGTATTTATCGGTACTGTGCGACTATCACGGTCATTACGCTGTGGGAACACGCGCTACTATACGAACAATATACAATCCTTTATACCTCCCAAAATATATCTCTCCAGACTCCCGTTATTGAAATAAAACACAATTACATTATCTTTGTTTCAACTAAGAGAAGTAGCGGTTTATGCTCTAGTTCGTATTGTTGATTAAAGTAGTTATCCCAAGGGGGAAATACGTTACACATATCTACCATGTGCAATGACAGACCCGTATCACAAGGAAGCTACTACGAAGTGTGGAACTCAGGTTTTGTGGTCCCGTATCCCGACAAACACCTGACACCAGCACATTGCCAGGGGCAACGCCAGTCAACTGCAAATTGAAATTGAGACATATAAGCAGATTACGTGTAGTACAAAGGTGACATTCTATTGAAAAGGCCACTTGGCGATTTTAATAATAGTAGATAGTACATTAAAAAGTGTAATGTTTGTATCATTAATTATTTAGGCTTTCGTCCATCACGTTGACACGATGTGGGAAATCATCGCTGCCTGTAGATTATACTGAGGGCGCTGGATTTACTTTCTAGCAGGCTCATCCCATCCCATGCGGCTTTGCGATGAGCCGTCCTAAGGCACAGCGTGGAACCCGTTAGACAAAGCAACGACGGAGATTCGTTTTCTGCGTGATAGTAGTTATTAGTAGTCTCTAGGGGGC